GCGCCCCCGAGGTCCCAGCATATACTGACAGCGTGCTCTTCGAGCATGTCCGAGACTGATTTGCTTTATCACTACCGGTCTCGCTTGAAAGACTGCCGCCGGCACCTAGGAAAAAACCGACAGCCGAATTTCCTTAACAATTAAACACATCAAACATAGAATGGCTGCTATCTAGAAGTAGCACCATTTATGGATTCATAGTCTCCGCCTCCGTCGTCGAGATCCCAAACGAGGTTGCATCTGATGCGACCACGACTATGGATCCATATCTGGTCGGAGAAGGAGGATTTCCCTACACGTCATGCCATCACGATACAGGCACGACCAAATTCGTTACCAAGGCCAGCATTACGAGGTTTGTGAATTGACCGTTCGTGAAAAGAAATCCCGGCAACAAAAATCAAAACAAGTGAAACAATTCAACTTGTCCTGGTCACCCGGTTGTTCGTGCCCCCTATTGATGTGGCGCTAACAGGGAGGAGCCATGATCGGGCTCGACTGTACAAGGTGTTCCAGAAATGAAACTAGCTAGGGCATCGATCGTAGGATGATCAAACAGTACTGTTGCTGATAACTCCATCGTGAATTGTTCAGACATTGCCTTGACGAGTTCGGGTGCGATGACTGAGTCCAATCCGGCGGACATCAGTGAAATTTGCGTGTCTATGATTGTGCCGAGCTCTTCAAGAAGCTACTGCCGCATGAAATCCGCTATTTACCATCACTTAAGCCCAGTTTAGGAAAGGCTGCATAACCCGGGTACTGGATGAATTGGGTCGTCCTACATGAGCTCCTTTTATGATATGACCGGCATTTTCACTCTCGAGTTCCAAATTAAGCACTTCACGTTACTCGACACCAAGCATGCGGTTAGAGGCATGATATCTAGTGTGTGCCCGTTTGCAACCGTGCTGTTGCCATTTTGACCCTGCTGCACAAAGCTGATGCAAATCTGAGGAGAGAATGCAACGGGGACACTTTAGCAGCGAAGAACACCAGTCCTTGCGATAAGGACACGCCAGAAATTTTCGTTGATGCCGCGTGTGTCTAGTAAGGTGGGTCATCTTCCTTTCGCATCATAAAGGTCACTTCTGTTTCTAGCCTGCGCTTGAAATCTGTGCCATCCAACAAACAAGGTCGAATCGTTTTTTTTAGGGAACAGATGACAATGCCAATCTATCCCATTGAATGCGCATAATTTTCATTTTGAGGGACGTGCACAACAGAATGAAAATTTGAGGTCTCTTGGCGATTATATTACGAACGGCTCTTTGTCATTTGTGAGAAATTAATCACCGAATCACGCGCCGATGCGTTGATGCTCAACCGCAATCATGACGCAGAAAGAAATTTCGATTCTTGCCAGGCGCCCGCTCGAGTCAAAGTTGTACGATGATTTTGATAGCAACCTTGGGTGTTCCTCATACGTCTGAGGCATCCAGAATTCACCAATGGTGCCGTTGCAAAAACGACACCATGAATTTCTTTCTTGGAGCTGACGTTGAAGCATTGTCCCTTTTCACAAAACTGATGCAGCTTACATGTTCATTGTGAATAATCTGTCGTGTTTGTCCCGCATAACTTCATATTGTGCTTCTTTTGATCATTTTGTGGCTTATGCCTTTACGTTTTCTTGGCGCCTAAACCAGATGTCGCTAGGTGGCACTTACTGCTTCACAAAGCCACGGGCTCCCAATCTGCTATACTTATCAAACATGGCGTGCACCGTAGAGGCTTATGCTGTTCCTGCCTCTTGGCTTCTTATGCTCCCAGTGCCAGCATCTTGTGTGAGGCGCAGGGTTAAATCAAAGCAGTGGTGCGCTGGAGGCTTCAGGGCAAGTCCCAGCAAGCAGGGTCATATAAACACCACATTCATTGCGGCCGGCCTTTTTACCAACTCGCCACTCTAGAATATGAGCTCTAGCAAACCAACACCTGGAAATACAAGGTTACCGAGAACAACATGACTAGAGATGACACCTCATAAGAAGTGTTCCTGCAAGGGCACTTCACAGCGGTGGGATTGTCGTGTAAATATGGGTAGCACTTCCCTAGATTTCATTTGGCGAAAGTTGATGTGTCGTCCGCTAAACATCCATTGCTTTTACCGCATTTACTGACAAAAAGTTTCTGACATAGCAAAGATTGCGTGGGCGATGGTCCCGCTAAAGCCGAACGAGCTCAGCCGACACGGGCAAAATCGTCCTGCCTGTGATACCGCCGCGAGCTCTACAGGCATTAAAAATGAAGCGGATACCACCATACCCAAATGCGGGTTCAGTCTGGGTTTGAAAATTGATTATCTGGGTGCGATCTCATTAGAAGCCGTCTCAGCTGAACGTTGAGTGTAGTGACAGATATAGCAAGATGCACGAATACGATTGATGTCAGGCCTGCAGCAGCTGCTGACGCCTCCAAGTGACCCATGCTGGACTTCAGGGAGACGCATTGGACTGTTTGTGGGGCGTCATTGGTCCTCTTGCACAAAGCACCAGCAGCTGCACCCACCTGGACTCTAAAATCTTCTCACACAATTGCGGCACTTCGAGCGCGCGCCTCGATTGGATCACCAAGTTTCGTGCCGGTTCCATGGGCTTCGAGACAAGATCGCAAAGTAAACTAACTTCACACCGCTTTGATGAGACGCTTTTGGGAACCGCCGTTTGGTGCTGTGAGACTGGCACTGGGCCCATCTTACTGCACAGCAGAATTTATTGATATGGACTAAATATTGAAGTTTATCTCCTCAGACACGCACAAAACCAGCGCACTGCAACCTTCTGCCCGGCAATAACCGTCAGCGTTCGAATCAAATGCATGGCATCAACCACGAGGTGAAAGCATGCCAGCTGCATCAAACAAAGCAACGCTGCACTCCGAGAGCAGACCAACAGATGCAACTATAGCTCGCATGCATTCGTGACGGAGCTTCGCGCCTGCAGCGAAGTGGAAGGCGACAAGAGCAGAAGAACACGCCGTGTCAATTGAGGAGCAAGGTCCAATCAAGCCGAAATGATATGAAATACGCCCTGCCGCAACGGACATCATTGTGCCCAACAGAAAACAGGGTAACCCACCCACATTTTGAACGATCGAGCTCTAATCTAAGATTCCACAAATACCAATGAAGACACCTGCTTGATCCATGTTCGAACATCGTGTCAAGTGCAGAGCACTGCAGCATTCAAGTAGCATTAACTGCTAGGTGTTCATGTGTTTCAAATCACTTCTTGAAATACCTAGGCGCTCGCTAGAGAACAAAGAATTGTCATCAATAAACGAACCATACTACACACTACTGGCTCCTGTGCACCGTGTCATTGGGAACCTCCTCGACGAAATTCCACGCCGAGCTATGGTAGTGCGCAGCATATCAGGACTACGCGAACACAACGGTAGCAAGAAGTTCAGGTTCGCCACGGCACAGGTTGTCCGGGTCATCGATCTCGATACAGTCAGATTTGTTTCGATTCCAGCACAAAGCACGAACGTGGCTATCTCATCGATTGTTGGGTGGTCGAATGTGAGTGTGGATGGCAATGCAGTCTTCAGCTCTTCGTTTAAAGCTGTGATAGCTCTTGTCGTCATTATAGACGTGAACCCAGCCGACATCAACTTTGTTTTGACCGAAAGATCCTCCCCAAGAGTTTCGGACACAACCGAGGACACGACGGACAAAACGCAAGTATGCTCCGGAATCGAAGACTCTCTTCATACTGTGCACATAGGAATGACTTTGCCACAAGCGTCATCATGAGTGTAGGTAACTGGATCATCCGTACTGAGGATTGCGATACCAAAGTATTCAGCGAGGCCTGCATAATTGCTCTCGGCGTTTTGGTGAATGCATTGCGGTGATCATGAATTAATGATCATGTCCGGAATGCAGCATTGTGGCAGTGCATCAATGCCCATGTCCTAATCACCAAGTGTGCAACTTAAACGCAAGTCATGAAGAGTACATGTCTCAGGA